GATAGATAGATAGATAGATAGATAGATAGATAGATAGATAGATAGATGGATGGATCTGTATCTAGATAGATAGATCTGTATCTAGCTAGATGGGTAGGTAGGTAGATAGATCTGTATCTAGATAGATAGATAGATAGATAGATAGATAGATAGATAGATAGATAGATTTGTATCTAGATAGATGGGTAGGCAGGTAGGTAGGTAGATAGATCTGTATAGATAGACAGATAGATAGATCTGTATCTAGATAGATGGGTAGGTAGGTAGATAGATCTGTAGATAGATAGATAGATAGATTTGTATCTAGATAGATAGATCTGTATCTAGATAGATCTGTATCTAGATAGATGGGTAGGTAGGTAGATCGATAGATCTGTATTGAGATAGATAGATCGATAGATTTGTATCTAGAGATAGATGTGTATCTAGATAGATGGATGGATGGATGGATGGATAGACAGATCTGTATCTAGATAGTTCTGTATCTAGATAGATGGGTAGGTAGGTAAATAGATAGATAGATAGATAGATAGATAGATAGATAGATAGATAGATAGATTTGTATCTAGACAGATGGGTAGGTAGGTAGATCGATACATCTGTATTTAAATAGATCTGTATCTAGAGAGATAGATCTCTAGATAGATAGATGGGTAGGTAGGTAGGTAGATAGATATATCTGTATTTAGATAGATCTGTATCTAGATAGACAGATAGATTTGTATCTAGAGAGAAAGATCTGTATCTAGAGAGATGGATGGATGGATGGATCTGTATCTAGATAGATGGGTAGGTAGGTAGGTAGATCTATATCTAGATAGATATAGATAGATTCGTATCTAGATAGATAGGTCTGTATCTAGATAGATAGGTCTGTATCTAGATAGATGGGTAGGTAGGTAGATCGATATATCTGTGTCAAGATAGATAGACAGATAGATTTGTATCTAGAGATAGATGTGTATCTAGATAGATGGATGGATGGATGGATGGATGGATGGATGGATGGATGGATAGATCTATATCTAGATAGTTCTGTATCTAGATAGATGGGTAGGTAGGTAAGTAGATAGATCTGTATCTAGATAGATAGATAGATAGATAGATGATAGATAGATAGATAGATAGATAGATAGATAATATGATGATAGATAGATAGATAGATAGATAGATAGATAGATAGATAGATAATATGATGATAGATAGATAGATGATAGATAGATAGATAGATAGAAAGATAGAAAGATAGATGATAGATAGATGATAGATAGATAGATAGATAGATAGATAGATAGATAGAAAGATAGAAAGATAGATGATAGATAGATAGATAGATAGATAGATAATATGATGATAGATAGATAGATAGGTAGATAGATAGATAGATAGATAGATAGATAGATAGATAGATAGATAGATAGACAGATAGATTTGTATCTAGATAGATAGATCTGTATCTAGATAGATGGGTAGGTAGGTAAGTAGATAGATCTATAGATAGATAGATAGATAGATAGATAGATAGATAGATAGATAGATAGAGATAGATAGATTTGTATCTAGATAGATCTGTATCTAAATAGACAGATAGATTTGTATCTAGATAGATCTGTATCTAAATAGACAGATAGATTTGTATCTAGATAGATAGATCTGTATCTAGATAGATGGGTAGGTAGGTAAGTAGATAGATGGATAGATACATCTGTATTTAGATAGATTTGTATCTAGAGAGATGGGTAGGTAGACAGACAGACAGACAGACAGACAGACTGACTCCAAGTCCCACCTCTCCCAGGTGTGGTGCTGAGCATCGTAGAACACAGGCCTGGGAGGGACCTAAGGGATCTTCTAATCCAACCCCCTGCTCAAAGCAGGAGACTTAATCCCATCCCAGTCAAATTGTGGTCTATTTTTTGAAAACTTCCCGTCATGGAACACCTGCCATTCCGAAGAATACAGGTAGTCCTCGACTTACGACCACAATGGAGCCCCGCATTCCCATAGCTGAGCAAGAGAGTCGTTAAGTGAGTTTCTCCCCCTTTTCTCGCCACAGCCGTGAAGGGAATCTTTGCCGCTATTAAGTTAGCAACCCAGCTGGGAAGTGAATCTGGCTTTGCCCGTGGACGTTGCTGCCCGGAAGACTGCAAATGGTGGTCATGTGAACACCGCCCCGCCACCCCCACCCCCCAGGGCACTGCAACCATCATCCATACGAGTCAGTTGCCGAGCATTTGAACTTGGATCCCGTGACGGTGGGGATGCTGCGATGGTTGGGAATGTCCAAAATAGCCAGAAGTCACTTTTTTGCAGGAATGTGGTAACTTCAAACAGTCGGCAAACAGAAAAGGTTTTAAGTTGAGGACTTCATTTATAAGGAGTCCTGCTCGACGAGGGGTTGGACTAGATGACCTCCAAGGTCCCTCACAAGCGTGTTATTCTGTCTTTTCTACGTTCTCGTGTCTTGGTAAGGATGTTCTTCTGAGCTTCACAGGCCCTTATAGCCCTTCTCTCTCAGGTCAGTTGCAGTGTGTGTGTGTGTGTGTGTGTGTGTGTGTGTGTGTCAACGTCCATCTGTGCTGTGGATTCTGATATTCTTATCCCCCTGCAGTGGGACTTGGTGTGCAATTTCCGGAGCCTCCAGCAGCTGGCTCAGTCTATCTACATGGCCGGTGTGCTGGTGGGTGGCATCATCTTCGGGAGCCTCTCTGACAAGTAAGAAGATTTTTTTTTTCCATTTTGAAAAGAAACCAGCTTCTTTTGACCATCATTGGAAGGTTGGTAGAGGTCACAACAGATCCATCAAACATTGATTCACAGTCTAAAAGACACAGTGATTTCTTGTTGAAAGTAACATTTTAAAGCAAACCTGTTTGGGGGACAAAATGATGAGGGGGTTATATGATAGATAGATAGATAGATAGATAGATAGATAGATAGATAGATAGAT